TAGGGAACCGGCCCATATTTGAATGTGAAGGTCTCATTGCGTCTCGGAGTAATATTGCCATTGGCATGCTCCACACAAGCTGCCCTCAGATGCTCCTTTTCAAACGCAGGACGTGAGCAGTTTCCCAAATATCCACCAGATGGTACCTTCCTACCAGAAATTAGGTTGCAGGTTGTGGAAATCCGCGTTGTTTTTCCACCCCGCCGACAAGCCGCAGAATCAGATGCCTGCCCCTGGATGCCACGAGAGGAACAGAAGCTGATAGGAACAAATCTCGGGGTGGGAGCCGTAAAGGGTGGGGGTGGGGGCGGTTACCTTGTTCTTATTTTCAAGAATATGGGGCAGAACTCGAGGCGCCCTTTTTGGTGGTGGGGAGAGCCACGTGCAGGTATGTGGAATCAAGTCATAGAGAAGTCTCTGAGGGAGCAAAGGACTGTGAGTTTAGCCCCTGAGTGGGCCTGGTCGTAAAAGTCCTCAAAGATGCCTTTGTGCTGTCACTCTGGAGTCAAAGCGCTGCTGGTGCTTTGAAATGGTAACCAGTTGCCGGGAAAAGAAAGCCTTTGTTGGAGAGACTTCCTTATTGTTCAACAGTTTGAGTTCCCAGGCCTGAGCTGTGGTCTCCCCAGGTTGCTCAGCGTCCTTGGACGGAGAAGGCACCTGATGTTTACTGCGGAGCCACCACTGTCTCCTGGGTTCTCTGGTACTTTCCTGCTCTTAGCACTGAAAGTAAGGCGCACTGGGGTTGGGGATCCTGGCTGACTGGACTGCACACACCAGAGGGCGAGGCCAGACCTTTATACACTCAGTGAGCTGGGTGCTTCGGGGAAGTGCAGTTCTACTTTCAAATAATGAATCATTTTGTTGCTGATGTTTTCTTACCAGATTCCCTTGTCCCTTTAGCCAGTGAGACTTACATCAGCAAAGGCAAAGTTCTGTTAGAAAGGGGTCTTCTCTTGGTTTCTGAGGAGCTTGGGAAGTTTAGGCCTTAGCCAATAGATTTGGGAGAAGATGTGGTAAATAAGTACAGTTTTCCCAGGTTGCGGAGAGAGGAGACAGTGGCTGTGGTGACGAGAGATTGGGCCTCTGAACAGGGAGACACATTTACTCTCATCTCCCTTCTGCCAAACTCCCCAAGGGTAAGGAGGGCTTGTGTGCACTCAGGGTGAGGGCCCTGAGGCCCCTTGGCTGGGGTAGAGCACAGGGGGGTTGTAAAGACCTCAGGGAAGAGAGGGTTGTATCCTGGCCCCAGAGCAGAGGGCCAGAGAGTTCCGGGGGCCTCGGAGAGGCACAGGGCCAGCAGGGGAAATCCGTGGGCTTGCAGTCACCTCTCAGGGAGTGCACGGAGGTGCCTCAGCGACAAAGAGGCGTGGAAGGATTCTGTCCAAGAGCCTCAGGAAGGAGTCTGGCCCAGCTGACACCTCAGCTTCAGACCTGCGGCCTCCACAACTGTGGCAGGATAAACATCTGTCATTTTAAGCCCCCCAGTTTGTAGCGCTTTGCTTTGGCAGCCCCAGCCAGCTATCCCGAAGGCAGCGAGGATGAAGGAGAGGCAGTTAGCGTGGTCCCCCCTGCCGAGCAGGAAAGGGGAGAGGTGCTGTAGATGCTGGGCACAGAAACTGCCGCTGAGCACTGGTGGGCCCGCCGGGGCCGGGACATGTAGAGCGGGAGCCTGGACTGCGGGAGATGACATTTCCAACATCAGGAAAAATGAGGCTTGCGACAGAAACTGGGTAAGGTAAAAGTAACCATTACTATTAAACTTTTCTTACTGCTTGGCTTTGTGTGCTAAAATTGGCTGCTCAAGTCACTGAGTCCCAAGGCCACAGAGGGTTCTGTTATGGCCGTGGGGTTGAAGCCACCCTGCCTGCCTAAGCCTTCCTGTCATTCATTAGTGTTCGTTTTCCCTGGCTGACATTATGGCCAAACTGGACCAGGCCCCGTGCTCCAAGCACAGCCCTGTACTTCCTACCCGGGGCCCTTGGATCACTCTGTGCCTTTGCTGTTTCCCGTCTAAGTCGTACCTGTTATTTCAGGCCCAGCGCAGGAAGGCTTTCCAAGTCTCCCAAACACGTCGTCATCTCCTTTTCAACTCTGGCATTTGTTTTGAAGTATTCTTTTTAAAGTTTATTTACTTATTTTGAGAGAGAGAGAGAGAAAGAGCATGAGTGGGGAAGGTGCAGAGAAGGAGAGAGAGAGAGATAGAGAGAGAACCCCAAGCAGTCTCCATGCTGTCAGCGCAGAGCCCAACCCCAGGCTCAAACCCACAAACTGTGAGATCACGACCTGAGTGGAGATCAAGAGTTGGATGCTTTACCGACTAAACCACCCAGGCGCCGCTGTTTTGTTCTTTCTGATGTGTCTCCTACTCATTGTGTCTCATACTTCTTTGTATCCGCGTAACACGAGCATAATCAGCCCCTGCCGTGGCAGGTCTCAGCGCAGGCTCGCTGGTTTATTCGGTACAACCATTGCTAAAAATGCTACTGTATCCCACAATGCACTATGGGCAGTACATCTTGGTTTGTGACTGAAGCGCCCTTTATGAGTTGGGGCATTGTTTCTTGCCTGGGCTGCACTGGTCCAACGGACAGAGGGCTCTGTCATCAGGACCGTTAGTGCTTACTTATGGGTGTGACTGAAACGATTTTCCACAAAGGTGAAGGAAGAATAAGCACTGGGGCCACTCTGTCCGAGGAACTGGTCTACCTGCATTGGGGTGGCTCTTGTAGCCGCTCCAATAAAGCAGAGTGGGATCTGCAAGTCCCTTGGGTGGCCTGATTTTTATCACCACGCTGACTGCCTTTCCCTCTTCTCGTATCTCCCCCTGCAGCCAAAAACACCTGCGTTCTGGAATCAGAGGTAAGACATGTGAGGCAAGTTTTCTGGGAGGGAAAAGGAGTGATTTAAATTCTCACTGATGTCTAAGCTGCTGATAGATTCTGTCCCCAAAACAGGTTTCAACTTAGAGGAGGAGGCTGGACAGGGAGAGAGCAGGAGGGCGCTGAGCTGGCCCATTGACCACAAAGGAAAGAGCAATGGGTGGCAGGAAAGAAGGCCTGGGGGACCCAAAGGTGCAGTTTATCTGCTGCTCCCCTATTTTTGTCATGGGCCCCATCTGATTCTGACATTCAACACTAAGGGATCTCCTAATCGTTGATTGCACAAACCTAAACAGTCATTTACTGCAAGCATTCTGGAACACCAGAAGGTTGCCGTTATTTATTTGGTTAAATAAGAATGTAAAACATAACCAAATAGAACAAAAATCCTACCACATAAAAGAAAGGATGTTTTAATGGTAAAAAATTGGGAAAGAAAATCTCAGATAAAGGACAGCACTTTAAATGGATGAACATAGATTTATAGGAAAAAATGTCTATTTCCTTTTTCTGTGGGCCCAAGAAAATGCTGGCAGAGCCTGGGCTCTCCCCTACCACCTGGTTTATGGGAATCACATCCACCGGGATTCTGAACTCCCACCACAGTTTCTAGTTCATGACCCTGTGCTTCCCCCTGGTGGCCAAAAGGAGTTGCTGTAGCGGCTAAAGAGGGTCTCAAAATATTGGGCCTCCTAGCATCTATGTTTATTTAACACCCACCATGTGCTAAGGGTGAGGACACATAGAAATGAGGGATCTCTTGCTATCAAGGAGCTTTCCTATAACACTGATACGTCAAACAAAAGGTAGCAAACATGTTTGGGTTTTGGCTTTGAAATCAACTCGCAACCACCATTCCCCTGCCTGTCAGAGGCCCAGGCGGGCCACTGACATCAGCATTATGGAATGCAGGTAGTCTCTCAGCGTTAGAGCAGGCCTGTGACTTGGGTCCAGGTGCCACCTAGAGCTTTATCTCCAGCCTTGCCCTGAGCCGGGGCTTGTGGGGACTGATGAAGCTGGTAGGTGGTGGCGTAGAGCAGACCTGGCCCTAGCGATTCCCCACAGGGTGTTTCTGCTTTCAGCTCTTCCTACTTACTTGGCCACCCCTCGGTCAGGCAGGCCTGCTTTTGCATGAAGTCCTTCCATGCCTACCCTAAATCCACAATGACCTCTATGACCTCAAGACTACTGTCTACCATCATTTTCTCTTACTTTATTTTTCAAGTAGGTAAGAAATTCCCTGATGGTTGAGGCTCTGTTTTAACAGTTTTCTATCCATCTCCCCTTCTCATATTACCTCCAGAAGCTCTCAGTTTTCTCTCTTATTATGCAGAGAAGCTGCCTACTCCTTTCACATATTAGGGCTATGCTTAGGCCTCATCAAAATATTTTCTCATCAAAAATGGGAAGTAGTTAAGTCAGTTTAGGCTAAGTTATTTGGCTGCAACAAACAAGCCGCAAGTCCACATGGCCTAGAATAACAAAGGTTTAATTCTTCCTAATGCTACATGGCCCATGGGGATTGCTTTGGGGGGTGGGGTTGCCAGAAGTAGGAAGGAAAACTTCAAGACACCCTCAAATACTCAATAATTTTATTTTTAGCATACATATGCCCCCCAAAATGCATACTAAAATTATGATTCTTATTATTTTCTGAACTTCAAATTTAATTGGAAATCCTATGATTTATCTGGCGTCTGCTTTACGACCTCATTCTGGACCCAGATTAATGGTGCCTCTACTATCTTTTTTTTTTTTTTTTTTAACATTTATTTATTTTTGGGACAGAGAGAGACAGAGCATGAACGGGGGAGGGGCAGAGAGAGAGGGAGACACAGAATGGGAAACAGGCTCCAGGCTCTGAGCCATCAGCCCAGAGCCTGACGCGGGGCTCGAACTCACGGACCGCGAGATCGTGACCTGGCTGAAGTCGGACGCTTAACCGACTGCGCCACCCAGGCGCCCCGTCTACTATCTTAAACATCACAGAAAGAAAGGGGACGTGGCCATTTACACACTGGCTCTCAAAGTTTTCTTTTGGAATATACAAACATTTCCAGTGACATTATTATTATTATTATTATTATTATTATTATTATTATTACTATTATTTGTCAAAGTGAGTCATTTTGTCTTTCCCAACCTCAAAGGGGTGAGGAAGGGCAATCCTGTTATGTGCACAGAATGAGAGAACTCCAGGCTATTTGTGAAAAGTTCAAATCCCTGCCCTAGTTACGTATTCTGGTAAGAGCTACTAAGAAAATACTACATTCTCCATCTCATTACGATAAATTATATCAACTGTAATATTTATCCTTGTGATTTCTATCTAATGGCTTCCTATTGATTTCTAGTAAGCAGAGAAAGCTTTTTTTACCCATTTAAATATGGGGAGATAACTAAATGCTCCCTGTCAACTTTTCTTCTCTGCATTAAACACCTTCCCATGCACCCCCTCCCCTACTTTCTTCCTATGATGTAACTTCCAACCCTTTACCATCTGGTCACTATCTACTTGGTTATAGCTGACTGTTATGTGAATGTGATGGGAAAAAAAAAATAGAAAAGGGGGTTTCTTTTAGGGATAAGTCAAAGATGACTGTTTGTGTAACCCTTTATTTTTGTTCACTGGCACCACCTACAAAAGAGCAGCAGTTTTTCAACCCTTGGCAACAACAGAATCACCTGCAGAAACAAAGTGGTGAGGTCCAGGCTTCTCCACCAGCGACTCTGATTCAACTGGCCTTGCCTGGGCCTGGGTATCTGTACTGTTTTGCAGTTTTGTTATCTATAGCTACATAACAAACCAACCCCAAATTGAGGAACTTAAAGCAAAAATAGTCATTTTACTATTATCTTTCCTGGTCCTGGAGGCCGACTAGAATCAAATATATAAAAAACAAATGAACATTTTAAGAGAATTTTATGGGCAAACAAAAGCCACCAGCTTGGAGTAAAAGAGACTGAACCCATTTGGTATTTAAAGCAAACTTTGGCTCCCCCAATATTTTATAGGTAGGGGGGAGGCTGAGGGCTCTGCTTAGCACCCAAGGAGACCATATTCCTTTTTAGATTAGGCAAAGGAGGACTGTGAAAAAGTGGACCTCTCAGTGGGCAGAACCAAGGACCACGGAGAAGAGTGGACTGGGTAGTTTCTGTAGGGGAAAAGAATCGGGGTGCTAAATGTGCCCCACCCTTAGGACAAGGGGCTGCTCACCATACCTGCCCAGTAGGTCTTCAGATTTACTGGGGGGGGGGGGGTCAGTGACTGGTAAATGACTTCCCATGCATCCACTTCCCAATGGGAGTGTTAATTGTGTCCCTGTCCCTAACTGAATATTGAGTTTGTGTGTGGGAGCAAGTGACTTAATTTTTCAGGTGTCCCCCATCTAAAGGAGGCAGGCACATCCAAACCTTCTATAGTGGTGCTTGTGCCTTATGCACCAGTCCTGGACTTTGAGCTCAGAGCAGCACCTGCAGGGGAATTGGGGGTTGTCTCCCTTGGGGAGGGATAAGTGTCCTCTTAGATGGGCAGGGGAGGGAAATGCGTGTTTGGTGTGCAGAGTACAGACTATGGTGGATTATGTTAATATTTACCAAATATTGTGGCACCTTTCTCTGCAGGGCCTCTCCCTGCGGTGGGAGGGCTCTACATCCTGGTCCTTTTGTGTTCAGTGTTACATTTGACTTGCTTTGACCAATGACATGTGAGTGTCAGAGGTGACAGGAGCCACTTTTGAGCAGAAGGGTTAAGAATCATGGTGTTCACCTTTCCCTCTGCTATGACACCTGACAATGTTCCAGATAGAAGCTGCTTTCCCATTCGCTGTGCTGGAATAAAGATGGCACAGAACAAAGCCACAGCCAGCCCATAATGAATGCAGCATATGAAAAATTAAACTTATGTTGTAAGACCCTGGATGATAATATTAATGGAGAGGGCTTGGCACCCTGACAGCCCTGAGGAGCCTTGGGTCCCTCTTGCATGATGGCTACCAGCAGCAAAGGGACATAGCCTTTCAACCGCCCAATTTTCTTGTCCTCTCTGAGGAAGACTCATTCCCTTCACATTGATGCCTGCCATCAACAGTAGGTGATAGAGAGCCTCCTGGAGAGTGCCAGTCTCCAGAGAGCCTCCTGTTGACAGTTTTCATCTCTGTAGAGCAGAGAATGTGGGAAGATCTTTGGTATTCTAGGTTCTGGGCTAATGAAAGCTTGCTGGACATAGTCAGGTATTTCAAGAGGGTGGCCATTCAGAGGGTCCTTTTGTCCTTACTTGCTGGGGTTTTCTGTTGCCCTGGTGACATCTCAGTCTTGGCTTTCTCATTACATGATGAAGACATTGGTGGTGACAATGGAAAGGATGAGAAGATGAAAGAGGTCATACCATACCTGGTTCTATGCAGCAGAACTGAGGCTCAAGTATCGAGGTAAATTCAAGATACTTGTCTCCTGAAATCTGGACCAGCCTTAATCATCCAATAGAACCAGCAGACCAATAGAATGTGGCCAAAACAACAGTGCCTGCCTTTCAAAGCTATGTCGGAAGAAGCCTTGCAGCTCCTGCATTGGTCTCTTAGAAAACTCCCTCAAGACTCCAACTTACTGTGTAAGAATTGTGGTTACCCTGAGACCACCGTGCTGTCATAGTTGCATTCAAGTGCTCCAGTTGATAGTCCAGCTGAGCTGAGCCTTCCAGCCATTCTTGCCAAGGCCCCCAAAATATGAGTGAAATTGTCTTAGACTCTCAGTCCAGTATCCTCACCATCCAAATATCACAGATTGACTTCAGTTGATGCCATGTGGAACTGAAAGGTCCTCCAGCTAAATTTGGCCTGAATTCCAGACCCACAAAGTCATGAGATATAATAAAATGGTGTTATCTTAAGACATGAAAGTAATGGAACATGCACATATGCACTTAATACTCAGTCCTGGGTGCCTGGTTTTCCTTTTCTCTTAACATGGCTCCTTCTTATTGCATGCCTGGCTGCTCTAACCAAATTTCATGAGTTGGGAGGTATTAGCCTGGGACCTCCACCTTCAACAAGGATGGTCCAGTTAAACTCTTCATTCAAACAGGGTTTGGCATATGCTGAGGGTCCAATTTTGTTCTCAGCTCAAGTCCAACAAGTAATCAATCTAGTGCTTAGTGAGGACCTCCATAGGGAGAGTACTATGCTGGATGGTTAGGTAAGAGGTCTTGCTACATAAGGTAAAACAGCTCACTACGGTTTAACACTCACATGCTTAATTAATTGTGTTTCTTACAGTTAACATTGTGAGGTAGGCATTATTTTATAACATAAACAAGTGAATTGAGGTCAGGCTGTACAACAGTAAGCTCCAGAAATGAGTTTTGGACACCTAGCAGGCTTATCCACAAACCAGGCTACCTTGGATGTTAAAGCCTTAAGAGACAGATGCAAACCTTCATTTTACAAATGAGAAGCTTGAGGACCAGGAAGATGGAGTAGTATTGCAGCTGTGTTCTATCACTAATGGGGAATTCTCTAGCCAATACAGCTCCATCCTGGCCCTAAAGGGTCTCTAGAGTATAGGCCAAACCCATGTTGGGGAAGTGTTTTTAGAACTGTTGCTTTAGAGACGGAGGTAGAGGAGATGATGTCTGTACTGCCCTGTCTTATATATTCCCAGAGAATGCAAGCCTCTGGTTAGCCTCCTGTTTAGCTCCTGGCTGAGATGTGGGGGCTTTAAGGTGCCTGATGAACAGTTTGCAGGCCCAAAGCACTGGATTCGTAGTATGAGCTTTTCTCTAGAGAAAGCATCCCCGCATGAAACCATCCATCCCTGTGGTCTGGGATAAGTCACAGAGATAGTTACATTTTTGCTTTAGAGCATGGAAAAACCAAGAAATAATAAGTCAGTGGGCCTGTTTGTGAATTGGAAGTTACTCAAAAGACCATTCCTGGCTTGTCCTGGATCTCTTGGTTTGCTGGGATGGCAAGATTCAAGCCAGTATCCATCAGCCACAGTGGGAACTGTGAAGAGGCTAGTGGGGCACACGAAATTTTTACAAAGAGAACAGGGACCCAGAGTAACTTGGATAAGGAGAAGTCCACAAATGGGGTGTGTAACTCTAATCTCTCTGGAGATTAAGTATTTATGAAGCACTTTGTACCCACAAAGTGAATTTCAATAATTTATTATCTAAACTCACAATATCACAATAACATGTAAGTATTTGTGTTATGGCTAATGACCCTAACTTGAACTATTGCCTGTAAGACAGGGGATATTTTCATGCACTTGGGACCTGTTTTTCATGCCACTGTGAAGCAAGATCAGGAATTTTTGAGCTCATACCTGAGTCTTGATCCAGACCCGTCATTACCATGCAAGCCGATAGTTCTCACCCATGGCACTTCTGTGCTGGCTCCCCTGTTGTCAGTCAGCAGCGAAAGGTGAATTTTTTCATATGAATCCCTGACAACTCTTTCCTCTTTATTCCACAGCGCTGTGATTTGCCTTTGTGCAGCCCTTTGTGTTGTGAGATGACCAGATGACATATTCGTATATTGATGATTTTAAATGTGTGCATGGCTGAGAAGATCATACCAATTAATTTTCATGCAGAAGTCAAGGTGAGAACTGCTTTGGATTGTGGCAGTTGAAACTGAAAAACTAGGGGCTGATTATGGCTTTTTCTGAAATCACCAAGAAGCCTCCAAGAAGCAATAGTTATATCTTATTTCTCATCTGACTCTTCAAATGACCCCATTCACAAAAGGGCTTCTCTACTTAATCTACCCTATCTCTCCAATTGTCTAAAATACTACTTCACTTTTTAGCTAGAATTATGGGCCACAGTCTCTAAAAGGAATTTTGTAGACCATTTGGTCCATCTTATTTTACTGATGAGGAAAAACCAAGATTCTAGGACGAAGACTAGCATCCATGTATTCCAAGTCTGCCTTCCATACCCTGTTTCAGAATCATGTGATGTTTAATGTTGCTAAATGGAATGATTTTTACCTTGGGCTTTTCTATATCCCCCAGCATGCCTTGCACAGGGCTCATCCATAGCCAATCAGCCGTTGACTGTTAATAGCCACCTGGAGTGCTGTGCTGAGGATCAGATCTTCTCATGGCTGGCCCTGTCTCATTGGTCAAGTTTCTCCCAAATGGTGACTGCTACAGAGAGGACATTAACCACCCTAGCTAAAGTGACATCCCTCCCCCACACTCTAGGCCATACTCTAGCTCCTTTCCTTCCTTAACTCTCTTTCTAGCACCTCTCATTATCTGAAATGATCTTTCTTTCCTGTGTGTTCTCTCTTCTTCTAGAATGTGAGCTCCAAGAGGACAAGGACTTTGTCTCTCTTATCCACTACGATGTCTCTGTGCTTATTAGAGAGCTGACATGTAGGAAAAAACTCAATAAATAAATAAAAATGTGGAATTGATGGCCCCGTGCTGTAACTGTTAAGTGATATCTTCCATGGCCAATGGATAGACAAGTCACAATGCCAGTGTCAAGCTTTTGTCAACATAGGGTTGGTTGCCACTGGCCAACCAGTCCTGGATGAAAAACTAGTTTCCTCCTGACATTTTCTGCTTGATTCAGCTTGACTAGTCATTAGGTATTCTAGAAACAGGAATTTCCCTTAATCACCAATTAAGAACTTAAAAGGAAAAAGACACGTTTTTCTGCTGTTATCTCCTTTACCCAAAACTATTATATAGTATCTCGGTGCCTGGGTGGCTCAGTCAGCTAAGTGTCCAATTTTGGCTCAGGTCGTGATCTCATGGTTCATGAGTTCAAGCCCCACATCGGGCTCTCTGCTGTCAGCAGAGCCTGCTTTGGATCCTCTGTCCCCTCTCTCTCTGCCCCTTCCCCTCTTGTGCTGACATGCTCCCTCTCAAAAATAAATAAATATTTAAAAAAAGTCTTCTAGTGTCTTATTCATCACAGAACTTCTACGATATTATACAATTCTTTCCACAGGAAATATTTATTCACTAAGCACTTGTGTTTTTCAGTACCATTTTAAAAGGATTTTGACTTTCCTAAGAATCTTGAAAAGCTGCACCACAGTGCACAGTGCACACTGGTGTGACCGATTAAGACTCAAATGTACAAAGCCATGAGCAAAGTTCAGGTAAATACGCAAATTAAACTGTTCTAAAGTAAGGTGAGCAGTATCCATTACCTTAGCCTTGCATATTGGCTGTTCTTATCCATCCTTTCCTGGAAGTCAATATTTGAAATAGGCTAGTAGAGTAAGGCAGAGGAGGCTTGAGAAAGATAAAAAAACACAAAGAGGGATTTAGTGCTTAAATATAGTTACAAATTCATCTCGATTTCCTTTTATCTCTTTTTAAAGAATTGTGGTATATATGGAAACATTTGTAGCAGGTAGAGGTTTTTGGAAATTGGCTCATTTTTAACGCAATCGATACTGTTATTTCGTGTCAAAAGCAGATATGTTTCAGTGCTCTGGTAAATCTTATCTGATTTAATATTCCCTAGGACTCTGGGGTTGTATACCATCTCTACTCTCCTAAATTTGATGGTGTCAATATGACCTGACATTTAATTATTTGCATAGCCTATTTAAAATTAAAATAGCAACAGGCACTGAGTTCTTTTCAAGTTTTAATACACTCTCCCTTTAAAAATATATTTTTCATAAATTACTCTGCTGTCTGGCAGGCCATCACATTCTTCAGTTCCTGTAATAAAAGGGGAATGGTGCTATGTGGGTGTGAAACGTGAAACGTGGAGGAGAACACCATGGTTAAACAAGAGCGGACACTGATCAAGTCCATTAATCAAAGTGCCTTTTAAATCTCTGCAAGTTGAGAACTGTAGCATCCAGGGATTTGATTAAAGAGGAAATATAAAATGGCAGAAGAGGTCCAGGAGCTGCCTGGGCAGGTCACATCTCAGAGCCCCTGATTAACAGGATGTTGTTTCCAGTGGGATTTTTTTTCCCAGGGCCATTTTTTGGAGTTTATTTGCTAAGGCAAGGTGGGTTTATTTGCTAAGGAAATGTGGGTTTATTTGCTAAGGAAATGTAGGTTTATTTGCTAAGAAAAACTCCAATGTTTCCTTCTCTTGGTTATTGGAAAATCACCAAATCCATGATACAGGAGCTTGCAAATCTCCTCAGGCCAGTATCTTATGTCTCTCCATCTTTGGATTACCCCAACTCTCCAGATTTCCATGTACCACAAAAAGGTTCCTTACCCTTTTTAAAAAAAAAATAATTTTAGAGAGAGAGAGAGGGAGAGAAAAAGAAGTGCATGCCAGTGTGTGTGCAAGCTGTTGGGAGGGGAAGAGGGAGAGAGAGAGAGAGAGAGAATCTTAAGGAGGCTCCACGCTCAGTGAGGAACCCGACTCAGGGTTCGATCCCATGACCTGAGCTGAAATCAGGAGTCAGATACTTAACTGACTGAGCCACCCAGGTACCCCCAATTCCCTAACCTTTTTATTCCCCCAAGTCCAATGTTCCATATCCATGGCCGCAAGGATTCCCAAGCACTTTTGAAGCATATTTTAACCCTACAGGTAATGTTTATTATCATTGGTGCCATCTAGTCATTCTTTGATTTGTTTTTAATTTTGTTAGTCAACTCATTCAAAAATATTTATTGAACATTTATGTCTAAGTTCAAAACTACAAGTGTGAAGAAGTCTCTGGGGGTGGTGTGGGGAAGGGACTTTCTTAGGAGGGAAAGGACCTGGGAGGCTGGGAATGGGGAGACCCAGTGGGAATGAACGCATGTGCAAGGACTGGAGGAGACACAGGAAACATGGCTTGCTCTGGAATGGCAAATTTGGCAAGAGTGAGCAAGAATGAGGTGTGGAGGCGTTGGCAGACAAGCAGGAACCAGGTGATAAAGGATCCCTTTCCTAGGGGATAATGGAAGCCACCCCAGGTTGTTCAATGGGTGAAATGTGTTAGATTTACATGTTGGAAAGACCCGTTCCTGGGGCAACATAGACGATAGTTTTGAGTCAGGAGATATTTGAGTAAGAGAGAAACTAGGAGCTAAGCTTTGATCTGTATGTGAAATGTCTGGAGAAGGAGGGGAGAGGAATGGGAAGAGGAAGTTCAGGACATGCTCTAGAAACCTGCAGGACCAATGTCAGTTAGGACAAATCTTGTGAGAAGGAAGACTTCAACTCAGTCCAAGGCTGCTTTTACCTTGTTTGCTCACCAAACCTTAAGTAAGCAGATGATATGCCATTTGTGATATACTAGGAAGGTCTTCTTGTGCTTCCCTTGCTTCTACAGGGGTCCTGTATTTTGGAGGTTTTGCCAGTCCACTTCAGTGAGGTGTCCACCAGGTCAGGGAGGCCAAGGGCTGTGGCTTTCATGGCCAGCCACATCAGCACCTCGAGCCACTGATAGTTCCACAAAAGATAGGTCACCCCTATCATGTTAAGCTCTGAATTTTGAGTCTTGAGATTCTGGATTGAGCAATTTCCCATTTTCTCTGCCAGTGCTTCAGGGCCTGAACACCTCTTGTGTACCTTATGTCTTTCTATGGGCAGGGGCCACCAAGGCTTATGATACAAAAGAGTGCTTAGCCACTATGGATGAAAGGAGGAGTCTAGACCATGTGCTAGTCTTTCAGTGCAGGTAAATGGGTGGAGGGTCTTGCCACACATCTACCACAGGGGTGAACATGGTAGAAGAAGCAGGATTGGAAAATGATAGGCACTTCAGGGCATGTGAGTTTGAACCATTTGTTGGACTCAGAGGAGACTGAGGTCTGGAATTGGAGTTTGGGTCTCTTGGGACATATTTGAGATTAAAAAAAAAAAAAAAGAAACCATCAATGTGTGTGAATGATGGAGAATGTGTAAGGCATCAGGACAGAGCCCTGGAAAACATCCATATGTAATTAGGAGAAGAGGAGTGCTATGGATTGACTGTTGTACCCCACCACCTCTCACATTCATATTTTGAAGGCCTAACCCCAAAAGTGGTGGTATTTGAAGATGGAGCCTTTGGGTGGTAATTAGTATTATATAAGGTCAGATGAGTGGGGCTTTATTATTAGTGGCTTTAGAAGAAGAGGAAGAAAGAGACCTGTTTCCCTGCTTACATGCATTGAGGAGGGGCCATGTGAGGACAGAAGAAGGTACAAATCAGGCAGAGAGCTCTCACCAGGAACTGAATCAGCCAGCACTTTGAATTTGGACTTTTAGCCTCCAGAACCGTGAGAAAGAAAGGTCTGTTGTTTAAGCCACCCAGTCTATGGTGTTTTGTTATGGCAGTCCAAGCTGACTGAGACAGGAACCTCTGGAAAAGAAAGCACGGACTGATGGGATGCTAGAGGGAGAGATGCGGAGAGAGCTTTGTGGGGTGAGCATCAGACAGGGAGAAGCAAGGGCTGGGAAACACCTGCATTGGAGGTGTCTGGTAGGCTCTGTCAATTTATTTTGGGCTGAAATGTTGCTGTCATCCATGTGTGTATGATATATGGCACTTGCAGGTGAAATAAACCTATTAAGAAACACTAAAGAGTGTTTCTTACTTGATTGTGCTCATTCTGATTATCAACAAAATGTTGATTTTAATCTTACAGCTTTTTTTTTTTCAAACTGTGGTGTTAACAACTATTTATTATAAGAAAAAAAGAATTTAGATTAGGATAAAGAAAAAAAACACATAAAGAAATTTGTATAGAATTTCTATCTAGAGAAACTTCTTTAAAATCTCAGTTTAGTGTATGTCCTTCCTTGCCCCTTTACTCGTTTTTTTTTTTCACTCTCTCTTTCTTAAATTTATATTATATAATATTGTAAAATATAATGGGATCATATTGCTTTGTAACCTGCCTTTTTCAACCTAATGAACTCATTACTTGCCAATAAATATTTATCCATGGAATAATTTTGTAAATGGCTGTAACCAATCTCTTATTGTTGGATATTTAGATTGCTATTATCAAAGGATAGTGTAATCACTATCTTTATAGCCAAAAATTAATTCACATTCTTAATCATTTTCTTTGGTTAACTTCTTTAAAGTGGAATTATAGGGCCAAAAAGTGTTCAGATTTTTAAGAAATTACAGCAGTGTCCACCTGTTTGTGTGCTGTATGTATGAAATATTGAAAGAATTTCTTTAAGTCAGAATGTGTTGAGAGTGGCTAATCTATCACCATTTTATTATATAGTTCACCTTGCATGTTTATATAACTTGAAAACTAAAATACTTACAGTAAATTGTGGTGGCAAATTTTAATTCTTTCACACTAAGAAAATGGCCAGAATCCCTAATCAGAGGGGCCAAGAGGGCAATCCCTCTTTTAGACTCTTTTGGATATTCTTCACATATTGCACTTATTGTTGTGAAATTCTTATTATTTACTTGTGTACTTGTCCAAAGTTCCATCTTAAGGTACTGAATTTATCATAACTATTTTATT